CCACTGGCAGAAATGTTTGACTTAATTTGAGTCAAATTTTCAGACCAACAAGACAAATAATCTTACACATTCTGAAAACAAGATGATTATTCTTACACAATCAGTTCTTGTTTAGTAAATCAGTCTCAAAATAAGATCAAAAAGACTTTTTGGCTGATATAGATTTTAAAACTTGGTAAGATGGACAGTTTTTGCAGTGTATAAGTTTAACTTTCCTAATTGACCAACAAAAAGACTAAATTTTGGGTGATGTTCTATTTTTTTAATGCACTGTAAGTGTATTTTAATGAATTGGTTGCAAGCATGAATTTATCTAAACCACAATGCATCTCAAAATACTRAGACTAAGCACATCATTATCTGTGAAAAGATCAATGAAAACTGAGTTATTTTAAAGTGACAGTGCAATATTAATCACTTCCTGTTTCACAAACTGTGTTTACTGGTCACTGTGGTCAGAATGTCTGTGAATTTACTGGTCTCTTCTCTCAAAATCAGTGAATCTTACCAAACCTCTCAGTTTAGAATCACTGAATGTTGACCTTCTTGGTCTGAATCATAATAATTTTACCATTGTCCACAGTTACAATCACACTGAATTTACCAAACACCTTGGTCAAAATAACACAGATTTTACCCGTTATGATTCAGAATCATTGTAGGTACTCTACTGGAATGTAAGTGTATCAGTCGTTTTGTTCAAAATCACATTGACCTTAGACCTTGGTCAGAATGATGGAATTTAGCTGAATCCTCAGAATTCCAGAGATTTTATTGGTCTCATTGGTCACAGTGTAATAAGCTTCTTTGRCAGAATCAGTCATTTTGATTTGCTTGTTGATCAAAACCACAGAGAGTTTATCTGTTGCTTTGGTCTAAATCCTTCTACGTTCTTTGGACACCTCAGTCAGATTCACAGTGTGTTTATAGAGCTAGTAGATCAAAATGAAATTGAGTTTGCTGGACAACTTGGTTGGAATAAATGACACTTTCAGGTTGCTCTGGCGGAAACGCAGGGACGGTTTTATGGGCGGGGCCACGGGGGCATTGGCCCCATCTGAAATCTGATTGGCCCCCTGAAGTACCCCTGTCCTTTCACTCATCTGTCCTTGCCCAAGAACAATGATGGTGACTGCAGTTCCACTTCCAGCCACTAGTGGCACCAATGAGTCAAATATGAAAGTCCACAGGTCTTTTTCATTTTGAACAATTCTGCAGAAAAAAGTTTTTTTTACTGACGATGGCTGGATTTTCTTACATGTTGTGTGTTTGAGAGTATTTTATTTATATACAGTTAAAAAATCATGTAAAATTGATAAGGAGAATTTACCGTGCAAGCTTTTACAGGTGTTTGAACACATGTGAATGATTAAATGTATAAACCTTACAAAAAAAGCATGTTGAAAAAAACACTTGGCCCCTCTATGAATATTGTGGCCCCCTGATGGTCCCTTACACTGAAAAATCCTAGATCCGCCACTGCAGAAACGCAGAGTTCAGCCAACTCCTTGTGGTCACACATCTCAAAGAGCATAACTCCTTTAGAATGTAGAAGAAAATGAAAATATATAAGAATCCCACAAAGAAAATTTTGTCTGACTCAGGCTGTGTCCAAAATGACAGGCCAAGTCCTCTGGAGGACCCAGACTACCCAGTCGCGGCGGGCCGGGTCCTTGGTAGACCGGGAAGACCGGAAAGGCTGTGAATTTGGACGGTCTAGCCTCCCCTCCACCCCGGCGTACATCATGTCACCTAGCAACCATGATGATGCTAAACAAGCAAAAATAGATCGAAATTAGAGAAATATTGATAC